GTAAAAGCCATGGAACCATACTTACTGAACTTTAATTTTGCAAATTTCCATGGCAAATCGGATTTTATATGGCGTGAACATTTCTTGTTTTTACTCTTTTTCTCATTTCACAAATTTTGCCAGTTCCTAAAGATCTGCTTGGAAACTCACTGTGCTAATAGGCGAAGTTGGCCTTTCCTGTGCTTCTCTTAAAGTAGCCCATCCTGAAACACTGACCTTTCAGTTTAATAACAGTTTTATTTGAGAAAATATTCAGATCCTGAGAGCTGAAGAGTTTTTTTTTTCTTTTCCCCCCAGAAAGGCCATTTTAAATAGTGGTCTCCAAATAGTGTATCTTTTTTCTTGTGCACTTTGGATCAGACCTATCAGAAGAAATATATTGTTGCTTTTTGTATTTTATTGATTTAAAAGCAAATAACATGAAGCTCAGATTTGCTCAAATCCCATTACCACACAGGTTTATTTTCCTGCTTGTGCTTTGATTTGCTATTTTAGATTTTAAACTCTTTATGCTAGGCCAGGGTTTATCTTTTGTTATTTTAAATTCTCTATTGTATCTAGGGTAATTACTTTTTCAGTTGTGACCTTGGACTTGACCCAAAAGTTGTGATCCCCCCACCAGCCTCAATAGGCCATTAGAAAGACAGCTGTACTTTGGTCCCTTTATGTTCTGAAAATGATGCCGACTATCTGGTCATTGGGGCATGTCTTTTTCAGTGGCCATGGAGCTTTCTTGTCCACACCTTTCTCCCTCTTCTACCTGGATGATACAGAGTATCTGCCTCTGTTTCTTACCTCACCCCATAGCAGGTGGTAGGTGGAGGGGTATAGAGAAATAAATGGCAAGCCTCCCAGCTGCATTTTCTCCCCACACCACTTTCTCTCCACAGTCTCACCTGCATGGCTTCCTTCCCATCCACCCACCCACCTCATCACCGTTTGGTAATGGAGACCTCACCATTCATTTCAGGTTGATTGTATCAGGAAGCTCGCCGCTGAGTCTGGCTTTTCCCCAGTAGGAAACCCCTGTGTAACAGGCACAAAGTGCACTGTGAAGATATGACATTATGCTGTTGAAATAAGCCAGACACAGACAAATATTATATTTTCTCACCTATATGTGGAATCCAAAAACACTGAACTCAAAGCAGCAGAGGGTGGAATAGTGGTTATTAGGGGCTGTGGGGTAGGGGAAATGGGGAGATGTCAGTCCGAGAGGTCAAACTTGCAGTTATCAGATGGGGACTTTAGTTAATACTATTGTAGTTTTTATTAGAAATTTGTTAACAGAGCAGATGTAAATAAAGTATCCTTAAACCCCCCTCCACCCCAAATGGTAACTGTGTGGTGATTAATGTGCTGATTTGATTGTGGTAATGATTATACAATATGTATCAGATTATCATATTGTTCACCTTCAATGTATACAATTTTTATTTGTCAATTATACCTTGATAAAGTGGGAAGAAACAAACTTAGTCCATTTTTATGTTGCTTGTAAGAATACCTGAAACTGAGTAATTTATAAAGAAAAGGAATTCATTTCTTACAGTTATGGAGGCTTTGGAGTCCAAAGTTGAGGGGCCACATCTGGTGTGGGCCTTCTTACTGGTGGGGACTCTTTGCAGAGTCCGTAGGTGATGCAGGGCATCACATGGCAAGGGCTGAGTGTGCTAGCTCAGGTGTCGCTTGCTCTGCTCATAAAGCCACTAGTCCCACTCCTGTGATAACCCATTAACTCATTAATCCATAATGGGTTATTCCATTCATGAGGGCTCTGCCCTCATGACCCAGTCACCTCTTAAAGATCCCACCTCTCAATACTAACACATTGAGGATTAAGTTTCAACATGATGTTTTGGAGAGGACAAACATTCAAACCATAGCACCAACGAGCAACCCAAAATGACAACAAAAAAAAAATGTGATACAAGACTATTTTAGCCACTCACTTGGAAAACTAATCTCTGTGTTTCATACATAGACTTGGAGGTTTTACAGAAGCCTACTTTTAATTGAATTAAATTGAATTTTGGTTGAGAATCTGATTGAATTTTACCTGAGAAAAATTTTGTTGTTGATTTTGAAATTATCTAGGTGAAGTGACATGATTTTATATATGCAGCTTGACTGTGTTTATCCTAATATATGATCTGGTAGTCCTAATTAGGTAAAATATTTGTTTCAATTTTTGCTACTAATGGAGCTACTGGTTGTGTACAAGTTGAAAAAAATTTAGTGTCACATTGTTTTGCTTGTTTATGAGAAGTAGATGAAAGTGTGAAAATCATTACCTTGTGGAGTGTATAGTCTAGAACTTCATAGTGACAGTCTCACCCATGTGTGCTATTTTTAGATGAGGAAACCAAAACTCTGGGAAATTAACTGATTTATCCAAAGTCTGGCTATTAGAAAAAGATTGTTAAGACTCTGCTGAGCTATTACTATTTGCAAATTCTCTGCTGTTATTTGTGTTGTTTTAAAATCTTTAATATGGAAAGAATTCTGGTGTTTGCCTGAATGCATATAGAATTGTCTGGTCTGGTGTTCTTCTAGATTTTGTTTGATCTCTTAAAAGTAGAAACTTGTATTTTTCTCATGCTATGGAGTATGAAGTAAGAGAGAAGCAAAGCAGAAGCCTGTATAGAGTTGGAACGGTCCCTAGGCAGTAATCACTTGGGAGAAGATTGTTCTCTTGCTGCCCAGAGAGGATAGTAACTTTCCCAGGGTCTTCCAGATTGTTGATGACCATAATAGGAATAGACCTCAAGTAGTGTTTCCTCCAGTCTCTGATTACCAGTGTTCTTTTTATTATATTCTTTCCTTTATCTCTCTCTCTTTTATAGCTTTATTAAGATTTATTTAGCATACCATAACGTTCACCCATTAAAAGTATACAGTACAGTGGTTTTTAGTATATTTATAGAGTTGTGCAACCATTACACAGTCTAATATTAGAATATTTTCAAGATCTCAAAAAGAAATTCTTTACCCATTAGCTATCATTCCCATTATTCCCTTTCCCCAACTTCAGTCAACCACTAATCTACTTTCTGTGTCTGTGGATTTGCCTATTCTAGAGATTTCAAATGAATGGAAGCATGCAATATGTGACCTTTTGTGTCTGACTTCTATGTAGCATAATGTTTTAAAGGTTCATCCACGTTGTAGCATGTATCAGTACTTTATTACTTTTTATGGCTGAATAATAATATACTGAATGGATATACCACATTTTGTTTATCCATTCATTGGTTGATGGGCATTTAGGTTGTCTCCACTTTTGGGATATCGTGAATAACACTGCTATAAATATTCATGTGCAAGTTTTTGTGTAGACATATGTTTTCCATTCTCTTGAGTCTATACCGTACCTAAGCATGGAATTGCTGGGTGATACTGTAACTCTGCTTAGCATTTTGAGGAATTGCCAAACTGTTTTTCCATGGTGCCTGAGCCATTTTACATTGTTACCAGCAGTATTTTAGGGTTCCAGTTTCTTCACATCTTCATCAATACTTGTTGTTGTTTGTCCTTTTGATTATAGCGGGTTTGAAGTGGGTATATTATTGTGGTTTTGATTGGTATTTTTCTAATGGCTAATGTTGTTGAGCAACTTTTTATGTACTTATTGGCCATTTGTATATCTTCTTTGCAGAAATGCCTAGATACATCCTTTGCCCCTTTTTAATTGGGTTGTCTTTTTACGGCTTGAATATGGGTTCTTCATGTATTGTATACTGTGTATACTTGTATACTCTGGATACATATACTTTGTATACAAGTCCCTTGTCAGCTGTTTGATTTGCAAATATTTTTTACCATTCTGAGAGTTGTCTTTTCACCTTCTCAGTGATGTCTTTTTTTTTTTTTTTTTAAGATTTCATGTCTAAGCTTATCTCAGTGATGTCTTTTGATGCTGTTTTTGCTCACTGATAATTTACAACTTAGAGACCTTCTGACCTTTCATATATCTTCTTTGTTATTGCCCAATGCCAACTAAATATTTTGAAAGGTTTTTGCATATTCCATTATAATTAATGTTTTTGCATACACCCTGAGACAAAGGACTTATAATATCTGGGTTATTAATTAACGTATTCTTGAAGAGCAGAGGCAGTACTGTCTAGTTTTCCATCTAATAAGCTCAGCCATTTGAAGTAATACTTAGATCCTGTGGGTATTCCTAGATCTTCCCAAGTGCAGTGGTGCCTTCTTGGTTGTAATTTTGGGTACTGAGTTTCTGGTGAGAGGAGGTAATCTCTGCTTATTTTTTATGGAAGCATGTAAAATCTGTCCATTTTATTTACCATTATAGCTGTAACAACCTTTACAAAACATATCGTACACAGTCTTCTAATTGGGAAGACCAGATGTTTCAAATCAAGTCACCAGGTATTTAGAAAGCTCCAGCTGTGTTCTCAGTGCTGTGCTGTGTCTCTCTCCGATTACTGGCACTTGAATTTGAATGGCACGCATTCCAAAAAAATATGGTTTAGAAATTTTCATGAATCATAAATACCTCTTTTCACAAATCATGGAAAAATGAATGTAAATAGAAATGATTTTCTCTTTGTAATAAATGATTTTGTTAGGTGTTTAATTATTGAAGTGAGAAGATTTTGGTGTCATTTTCCTCTCCAAAGTACCTTCCTTACAGCCTCCCCTCCCCTTACATACCATTGTCAGACTTTAATGTTAGGGCGTCATTTTAAAGAATTTGTCAGTCCTCACTGGACAATAAGCAGCTCCTTGAGTTTATTATAAATTTTGGCAGGTGTGGAAATTTCTAGGTCACCAGGGAGCTCTTGATTAAATTACTCCTGAAGTGTACTAATTAGTCTTTTCCACAGTTCTCAGGAAGTTCCAAGGAGACACTGACCACCTGGCAGAACTTTGTCCATTCAGATCTAGTCTCAGCTTTGTTTTCCTGAGTGTTTTCTTGCTTTTGTTTTAAGAAGTCACTTACTTTACCTCCTTCTACTGTTTATTGATTCTAGTTTCTGATGAAGAATTGAAAAGAAGAGTAGCTGAGGAGCTGGCTTTGGAGCAAGCCAAGAAAGAAGCTGACAGTCAGAAGCGGTAAGTTTTGTGGCATCTGAAAGAGATTTTGGTGGACTTGTCATACTTGCCAAGTATTTTTATAGAAGAATGAAATGGAATCCCAGACAGTTAAGTAGGTCCTTATGTATGTGCTGATCAAAGAGAGGTTGAAGAGCTGTAAACTGAAAAAAAGCCACCTATAAAACCACAAGACTAATATTTTTGGTAAAAAGTACTACTTTTGAAGACTTAAGGTATATTCTTTTCCATAAAAATATGGGACTACATTTTAATTCAAGATAGCATGAAGTGCTTCCCATCTGTGCTATTTCTGAAATTGCATATAGCATTATGATTATACGATCATGTGAATGTCTTTTTGCTGTAAGCACCAAGCATATTCTTACCACCAAGTAGATGCTTAGTTTGTATTTGCTTTGTTTTAGACTGCCCAACTATTTTGCTTGAGAGAGCTGAATGTAAGGAATCTTTGAATTGGATTGTAGTCCTTACTGGCCATAGGACCGTCAACATATAATTTAACCTTTATGGGCCTTAAATATTTCATCTCTAGAGTGAGGAGTGTGAAAAATGTTCTTTAATATTTCTTCCTTTTGACAAACTGCTAAGCTGACTCCCAATTTGTATAAAACATATGGAACAGAATATGAGTTTTAGATTAAGACCACCATTTTCACAGGAAATAGAGAAAGCTTTTGGCTTAGGGTTTTAAAAATCATGTTGCAATTAGTACTGCCAAAAAATCTGCGTATATTTCAGTAGCTTCCCATGCAGCACTTTGTAATTATTTAATTGGGTTTGGTATATATTAATAATTAGATAGTGAAGTTTAAATATTCAAAAAAATTCAGTTCACTTTGATTAAGAAGAAAAAAAAATCAATATGTTATGGTAGAATTTCTTGTCTTTGAAATTTTATTATTTTTAATTGAATTTTATTTTAATAAGGATTTTTTGGTTAGATTCTCATATTTACTTTGCTTATTATATTTCACATAAGATTTTTTTTTTTTTGTCTTCCTTTCTCCCCATATGGTGCAGGTTTTTTGTTAAAATAACTCACTGTGGTTTTTTTCTTCTTTTTTTTTTCTTCTTCTTCTTCTTCATTATTCAGCTCCCATTTGCTCTGCCTTGGTCCATGAAAAGGAAAGGGCAGATGAGATGAATAAAAGGTGCCAGTGAAAGCCAATTTCATATCTCAGGTGGAATGGGGTTGGCAGCCTAGCTGTAACCTGGACAAATGACTATTGATAAAGAATTTATTTTCTGTCACCTTTAAGGAGAGCAGAGGGCGGTACAGCCTTTATATTATTTTTTCTTTAAAAAATGTTTTGTTTGAAGCCTCCTTCATGAAAACTTCCAGCTGTCAAATCTTGGTAAAAAGTGTGTGTTCATCTATGTGATAGTTCTTAGAAGAATCAATAGCTTTTTTTTTTCCCCCTGTTTCTACCAGAGAGGAAACTTTAGAAAAAGCATTAAGAAAGTTTTATGTGCAGTCCTTTAGAAGCAGCTTTTAGAGTCACAGAGCATTTATGCATTCTTATATCTGTTGCCTAAATTGAATAAACACTTGTAAGCAGTTTTAGAAAGTGATTCCTTGTGCCATTGTACAGTTATTTGTACATGGCCTGCTTACCAAGTTTTCTCTTTTCACCCCAAATGCACACAGACCTGTGGACTATTTCTCAGTACTTATCTGGACATAGGCACCTATCCATGTATGTTTCAAACAAACTTGTTCTACAAGGACTTTGGGATTAATTTTGATTGTGATAGTTTTCTTTGTATACTATCTATTAGCATTTTAACATTTTTTTGGTAGAAATTTTAAAGCTCATTCAAAAATGGAGAAGAGTACAATGAATTGTCATAGCCTATCACACAGTTTGAACAAATCGTGTTTCATCTACAGCCCAACTCACTCTACTCATGTGGTGAGTGGTGAGTGGTGAGGAGAAGCAATACAAATTTTAACAGGCTGATGAACTTTGTGGCAGGGAAATTATTCTGAAATGTCTTCTATCAGGATAGCTTGAGTAAGGACCTCGTTTTAGTTAGGTTTGTTTGGTTGAAAGCCTAAAACTTAACTCAGGTTAACTTAGGAAGCAAGGAAATTTTTAGAAGTATATTGAATATATAGCTTAACAGAAACAAAAGGAAAACTAGAGAACTGTTAGCAAGAGAAGAACTGGATATTACTAAAACTGTACATAATGAGGAAGTAATTCTTTCAAAGGAAATCAGGATGAGGGTTCCATAACAAAAGGAAATGGATGGTGGGTGGCTGCATTTCATTGAATTGGAGATTGATTTTAAGATTTTAGTATATTTGGTGTACCACTAGGGAAAAAATTGCCGCCAATTATAACACAATAGATTATTTTGTAAGATTTTCTTATTGAAGCAGTTCATTAAGACTAATTTTGAATTTTTAAAACATATATATGTATGTTCCTAAAAAGGAAAGAGTAGGCAGAGTAAATCGGTTAAAGCAGTGTGGTTTCAAATGGGGGAGATTTTGGTCTCCATTTGACATTTGACAATGTTTAGAGACATTGGTTGTCACAACTTGTCAGGTGTTATTGGCATCTAGTGCATGGAGGCTAGAAATGCTGCTAAACATTCTGTGATGCACAGGGCAGTCTCTGTGTTTCCCCACCCCAGAAAGAATTATCTGGCTCAAAATGTTAGTTGTGCCAACAGTGAGAAACCCAGGGTTAAGGTATTCTTTAAACCAGTTCACATTGGGTTTAATCCTTCTGAATCACTTTTGAACTCAGGGTCTTGCTGTCCTTGTTTTTCCGCATAATATCACATTCTGTGCCGTCAAAACCGTGGCGACACAGCATTCCTTAAAAGATTGTCCCAGTGTTGTTCCTGGGACTTTTCCAAGCTGCTGACACCAGTTTTGCAAATTTGAATGCTTATGTGCAAGCTATGACAACTATAGCCGGACTGCCGCCTGGCAGACGGCAGTTGTAAGATGCTTTTAGGCATGTTAAAATGTAGAAAAATATGCATCCTAGAATTGATGAAATATAGTCTATATACACTTTAGACCGTAAAAAATCAAATTGAAATGACTTCTTGTTTGGCTTGCCTTACCTTCAACCTAAAGCAGAAGCCCTTTTTCATTATTTTTGACTGGTAGTGTCACAAGCACTTAGATCCCATTCAGAAATATGTGTATCATTAGGCCATCTAAAATTTACCCAAACTCCTTTAAATCTCCATTCTTAAATCTGATGCAAACATGACATACTGAAAAGTTTCCTTGGAGATTTCTTACTAAGGCCACAATGACAATAAAGCTAATTGTAAGCACTATAACTATATATGTTATATTCTCATTTTTAAAAACATTTATGTGTCTACTTTCCATTCAGTTTATCATGGTTTTATCCTGTTTTATGGTAATCTTGAGTGATTATGCAGTTAAAAAAATAATGCCCCTCAAAACTGCTGACAGATTAGTCCACACTAAAATTATTGGGTTTAATTTGGAATCATGGTTTTGTTTATCAAATGTGTAATGAACAGAATAGGTGGGTGCTTGGTGCACTGAGAGTCCAGAGCAAATGCCTCTGTCAGCAGTCTGTTTTTGCTGTAATACTCTAGTGTGTGTTTGAATTATAGCTAACCATAGTTTGTTGTAACTATAGCAGGCCAATATAGCAAGGACATAATATCTACAGTTTGAGTACAGACTTTTAAAATGTGATTTACTTCTCCTCTGTGCCCTGCCTCCAAAAGTCAGTCTCTGACAGCAAGAAAAATGTGGCTACTTCTGACCTCTGACCTTTGGCATTTGAATTTCACCTCTTTACCTAGAAGAGCAAGTGAAAGGGTTTCCGTTTTAATAACCTTTCTTCAAGAAACCAAGAAGAAAGGGGATAGCTACTTGATGTTGTAACTAGCTGTACATCAATGAAGATTACTTGCTTACTGTTTTTAAATGGACATCAGCTGAGATTTTCCTCTACTTTTAATTACTTAGAAAGTTACATTAGATTTGTAAGACTTAAAATAATTACTTTGGTTCAATAAGTGGTTTAATAAATTAGTCATAAAATTTATTAGCCATCTGGGTTAGTTAGAATATAGCATAATCCATTTATTTTTCCATTGATAGCATTATTAAGATCATCAAGTAAGGATTTAAGACTTACTTGGACCTTTTAGTTTCTCATGGTAATAGTAAAATTCATAGGGATGGCACCTTTTGTTTAAGTTCATTATATATAATAATTTATCTTGATTTTATTATTGGATATTTTCTGTCTTTGGAAGAAAAAGCTGGAAAAGGGAGGAGGAAAGATTCCACTAGAGATAAGCAGGGTTTTGGGGGTAGTATCACGTTTAAAATACATAATATAAGAAATCATGTACCTAGGATGGTGCCTTTCACACACTAAACTCTTACAAATATTTGTTTAATTGAATAATTACTAGGACTAAAAATTCTTGACAGCAACCTTTTTTATATGAAGTAGAGTTCTGTATTATGTATATGTGTATATACTTTATTAAAATGTAAACAAAATAATTATGCCTTTAGAATCAGTCATTAACAAGAGACTATAGATACTTGTCTTATAAATCTTTGTTTTAATTTAGTATAGTGTTGAAATTTGTTTTCCTGTCATAGACACAAATTACATAGTAGTTTATGAAAATTACATACCTTCAACCTGCTTGTAATTTTAGGTATATAGCAATTTTTAAAAAAAAACAACTTTCGTGGAACAAGTACTGTTGATAACTAATATTTCTCAAGGCTTATCATAAAAGTATGATTTTGAAGTGACCTTAAGAGATTAGTTAGCAGTCAGTATTTTCTCATGGTAGCCAAAACTGTCACAGACAAATGAATTTCATTTTTAATTTACAAATGTTTACAGAGAAGATTATTACAGGTATTTGAGTTGTAACTCCTTAGTGACACACGCCTGATGTCCAGGGGCAACCCACACCATCCTGCTGTGATGTGAGTATATTTCATAGTGTGTGGCTTTAGT